TTGTTTTTATTTTTTGCGGATCCTGGGCGATTTGAATAGACAAACTTTTCTACACATAACAAAAATATGAAACAAAGAAAAAAATTCGTCCAACTCAGGAACCCTCAGGGCAGCCATTACTATGACACAAGACTTGGCATGATGTAGAGATGTTTAGAGCATTTTTCATATTTGACGCACCAGCAATAGTTCTGGCAACCGAAGCAAGATTAGGATTTTTTCCTTGAATATTTCAATTTTAGACACTTGAGATGGTACCCTGGGAGTGAGGCTGTACCGTTTATGCTTGTCCCCAGGGTCATCTCTGCTTTCAAGATGGCGGGCGGTTTATAGCAGTAGTTTAATTTAGTGACAGTCGGGCGTGAGATGTTTCTTGGTGAAATGATCAACGACCTCCCAGACCAATTGAACAAAAAAAAAATTCGCAAAAATGGCTCGCATGACTCGCATGGCTCGCGTGGCTCGCATGGCTCGCACCATGGCTCACATGGCTTGCTGGCTTGCAGATTTGGCAGACCCTATATAAACTTTCTTAAGCATATAGACGATTATGGAAGTTGTTCAGGCCTGAAGATTAACCAAGAAAAATCAGAAATAATTGTATTAGGTAATGGCACCTATACTCTGTACAACAAGAAAACTCCATTTCAGGCAGCTTAGAGGGTGGAGGGATCTGACAATTATCAGAAGAATTCAAATAGTCAAACCCTTTATCATTCCTTTTTACCTATGTCATGTGAGCTTGATATCAGTAAATAAGGAATTTATGAAAGATGTGGACAAAATTATCTTTAATTTTATCTGGAAGGGGAAGGATAAAGTCAAATGTTTTGCTTATTTATCAGTGACATCAAAGATGGGGGACTCAAAGCCCCACATTTTGATTCTATACCAGAAACTCAGAGAGTTCTTTGTTGCATTAAATTAGCAAGTGATAAACCAAGCAACTGGAAAAAATTCTCCTGCATTATCTTGAACCTAAATAGTTGGGGGTAAATTTATCTTATGTTGCAATTTTCACTTGAAGAAATAGTATAAAGCTCCCAGCATTTTATGAACATAAGTACAGACTTCTATATAAAATTTTGATAATTTAGTTGATGTACCGTAAGTACCACATTTGCTTTGGCCATGGCTACATAATTATTTCATTTCAGTGAAGGTCAAAACTAAAAAGACTACAAACCAAATACAAGAACAAAATGCAAGAAATATTTCAAAATGTAGTCACATCTAAATTAGAGTCAACTGATGGGAAATGGATTTCTCATAAATCCAGCTTTCACAAAATATAACATATAAATATGGTCTGATCTGGGTCTTATGAACATCATTTACCAGTTGTTAAGTCAAAGTATTTAAATGATGCCTTAAATTTAATGGCTCAAGAGGAGATGAGGAAACACTTACATCATCTTTTTCGTCAATTGGTACTCTATGATCAAGCAAATATTTCACAATGTCAGTATGTCCACCAGAAGCTGCCCAGTGCAGTGGCATTCGCTCATTCTGCAATGTACCAACAGATCATATAAATATTAAATGTTTACTTATTATTAGAATTCTACTCACATACTTATATGGAAATGTTGCAATCTGAGTGGATCTGATTTGAAAGAAAATAAACTAAGTTAGATTTCTACTAAGACAATATTAGATTATTCACTCTTTATTTCTATTTAACAATTACATGTAGATTATGAGCTCAAGATTTCTATTACATAATAGTTGATGTAATTTTAGACAATAGATAGAAATCGAGAACTAATTATATTAATCTAATTGTTATGTGGCTTAATGTAATTAGGTGAAGTTTGATTCAAACCAATACTGGTCTGTGGCTTTTCAGGGTAACCATGCTCTGTAGAGTCTCATACGGGGTTTTGCAGGGCTTACACATTTTTCTTGCCAGCTGTGTAAGAACATGCAGTTTGCTTTGTCTGTTTGAGTGCCATTTGTGCTTGTAGCGTACTTGCTGTGGATACCAGACTGTGGGCTCTGCTCAAGGCTCGTATCTCACCTGGTTCCGTTTACTCTGTTTATTTTGCCATTTTACTTAATGTACAGTATTTATAAACATTTTAATGTGAGGCGAGGTGACCTCTAGAAACCATCAGGCTTCTCCACTACCCCTTGGGCACCTTTCCCAAGTTCATTACTTGGTGATAACTTTAATCAGTGTAAAGCTACTGGTCCGTTAAAACTTAAACTTAAATCCTTTTAAATGCAAAAAAGTGGCTGCCTGCCAAGCGCATACTGCTAGTCATTATCTACAAAAGAATAAATGGTGAGTAGCATGGTCAATCAGAGAATGGCATTCGTGATAGAATGCTTGTAGATAATAATTATACTAAGAGATGATAGTTGATTTAGCCTTTGGCCTCATCAGCTTTGTAACTGAGCTAATTACATTAAGGTGGCTCAAAACAGTTTTCTGTTTTTTTGAGACTTTTAGAACTACAATCATGGACAAAAGTCTTGGGAAAAATTTGCACTTTTGGCAATTTGGCACACATGCCAGATGGGAATACTACTTCACCTGCCTAACCTCCNCCCCCCCCCCCCCCCCCCCAATGTTGAAAACTACTACCTGCAATTTCTTTTGATTTTCAACATTGTATTGGGTGGGGAGGGGGAACAGTAATGCATTTTTTAAAAAGAAAGCAGCACTCATTTCAAACTTCAAACTTCAGTAGTAAAACACAGATAATTTGTTAAATTACACACTGTACTTAAGTGTCCCAACAACTTTTGTCCACAATAATTATTGTAGGTGCGATTTTTCAGGCTTGGAACTGTACTGTTTTGAATGGCTGTGCTCTTTTTTTAAAGTAACTCTCCACTGTACCTTTCATTGCGTTTAAGTCATAAATTAAGATTGCACTGTTCTGTTGCATAGCAACAAACTTGACTCACTTATTACCATCAGTTGCGAATAGTGTTTTCTTTTTTGCTGTTGTCGTTAGCAGCATAAGCGGTAGAAGAAGAGTACCATAAATACCCGAAGGTGAGACTGGCCTAGTAAAAAGAACAAAGAAAACTTGAACAGTAGTTTTTTCCTGCTGTTTTCTAGAGCGACAGCCGGTGCGATTGATCGCAACATCAACATCACAATTTTCAAAATTACAATAAATTGAACAAGAATTTCCTTCCCCTAAATTCAGACCATCTATTGCACATCAACCGAACGTGATTTATAAAAATACCCTGTGCCCATTGTGATTGGTGTTATGTAGGCAAAACTGGCCAGTGTTTTGAAACTCATAAGAAAGAACATATCAGGAATGTCAAAACATGTGCCAATGGATCAAACATTGCGAAACATGCGTGGTCATTCAACCATTGCATAGATTTTGATAATTCTAGTGTCATCGACAAAGGCTCTTTTCGCATTAGAACAACTTTAGAGGCTTGGCACACCTCTGCTACAAAGCATGCTGACAATAATTCTAAGCCAATTCCAAACCAGTATTAATAGTATTCTTTTTAAACAATAGTCACCTAATTTACACATTTTTACTTTGCTTTTGTTCTTCTTATTATTTTTATCTCGCCTTTTCTTGCATATATTTTATCATTTTGCATTCCACTTTTTATCCATCAAAGGCTGTAGATTGACAGCCAAAAGCTCATGTTCTTTTTTAAAACTCTTTAGCCTGCAAACATTTTCATCATAATTTTGATTATGTCTCATCCTGGCTGCGCTTAAATCGTTTAGGTTCACTAAGCTGTAATCACGAAGCCATCAAGATAGCTGACTCACATGGTTAACAATCAAGATAGAAATGCATCATGGGAAATCAGTCAATCAGCCTTGCCAGGCATGATAGCTTACACGCTTTCCTCTTTATAACAAAAGATCACATATTTAACAGAACAAACAGCCACTACGCAAACAAAAACTAATAAATGAAACCTATTCAAATAATTTGTTTTGCTTCATTGCTGTCCTATTGATCATATTATCAATCAAGTTCTTTCAATCATGTTACGTCCATCAAGATGGCTGACTCACATGGTTAACAATCAAGATAGAAATGCATCATGGGAAATCAGTCAATCAGCCTCGCAAGGCATGGTAGCTTACAAAGGATGGATGTTTTCAAAGGTAAACAAAAGAGATATCGCAAACAGCTCACTAAACTTGGCGGAAACAAAGTTTTATGAAGTAGGCCTCATGCCGCCATGTTTGTTGTGAGTTTTGCAAACTTAAAATCTCTTGACCCCACAGGTGATTGCATGATGCCTCGCGCTGAAGTGCATATTAGAGCTCAGGCTTCTCAAGGAAATATTACTGTTTTGAGCCACCTTAAGATGATTTCCACAGAACATTCGAGCAATAATGGTATGGTAATATTTTGAATATAGTTAAGAAAAACTTATCAACTCTTCAGCTCTTAAGCTGACCCAAGAGGGAAAATCGAACTTGAAGTTATCCACATTTCAATTAAGACAGACTTTTTGTGTTGGTTTTAAAAAACACAATAATACACGCTTTACGCATTCTTATGAGGTTTGACATTAACTTTCTTGAGAATGCTTGAGAATTTAATTGCTGGGTCACTTAGAGAAATGCACTAAAACGAGTTGTCTTGATTAAATAGTATTCCAAAAGTTACTGTACTATGAGCAGATTTTTAGTACATAATTTTTGCACTTCTTGCTTGAACTTTGAGCAGAATCCGTCTTAACCTCTTAAGTGCCTAATATGATGTATTTAGTTTGTAATGATTTTTGCCCCTCAGGTGCATACATGACGTACTGGTACGTACGTCCAAATTTTAAGAGATATAGTCAAACTCCCAGCATACCGGAAACAAACTTTTATTGGCACCTGAGATTTGAAGGAAGTTTTTTTGGGGAAAGTTACTTTCCTACTGCAGTGATATCATAAAAATTATGGATATTAAAGTATGTGCAGTGTTTCAGCCAGAAAATTTTACTTGAGGGCCAAAGTGACCCCTGAAGATCTTTTTTAGGGGCCAATTTTTTAGGAAAGGGGCCAATAAATTAAAAACTGCAGAAGGAAAAAATGCATTAGGGTACCAAGGAAAATCGAGCAGTTTATTAGGATCTATGACAAAATTTAATAGTAAGTGCTTTTTGAAGTGTTTCTATACAATAAAGTTGCTAGTATGAAGGATCCATGCATTACAAGAGAACAATCCTTAGGCATACATGACGTAGTCAATGATCAAGGGTTTGCATTGCATTATAGGGCGATTTCGAACACGGTCTGCCATCTGGGAGTTTTCCGATGTGAGAGAATCAATACAGCAAAGCAAAAGGACAGATTGACTTCTTTTCTTATGTTGAATGTTTTAGAAGCAAAGATCTTTCAATATGATTTT